GGGGCAATATGCTGACTCTGTAAACCGCTTAGAGAGGGCTGAAAGCCCTATGAAGCGGTATATAAGTCTAACTGCTATTGCTATTGCTATTGTTATCCCTATTGGTTAGCAAGTGATCATTAGAATCAAGATTCAACACTAGGGATGATATCCTTTAGGTCATGGGTGTCAAACGCCCAGTGTCACATTGCCGTCACGTGATGTTTTTCTCATTCATGGAGCTGGGGTGGACGTGGCCTGTGCATGATGCATCTGGCCCGCGGACTGCCAGTTTGACACCTCTGCGTATTGGGCTACCACTCAGATCATCCCGAGCCACTATAACCATAATAGCACATTTTGGTTACTGATGGTTGGTAAGGACTATAGTCCAACCTCTTAAAAGGTATCAAGTTGGAAGAGGCTGTCCTTTAGTTTATGCAGCTGTGGACACATTGATTTGTATTTATATCACACCTTTCCTCTGAAAGTTCAAGTTAGGATATATGAGGGTCTCTCTCATTATATCTCCAAAGCAACAATCTTATATAGTACACTAGCTGGATACCCATGCTTTGCTATGAAACTATGTGATTGGGATTGATAATTAATGAGTAGTTACAATTGGGCTTGATACATTGACACTTAAAACTTGAAAATCAGTGTAGAATGTATAACTCCTTAGCATCAGAGCATGTTAATATAAGGCAATTGGCAGTTGGAAGAGAGTTCCATTCGTGTGGAGGGGAAGTAGAATGTCTAGCTCCTTAACATCGACACATGTTAATATAATACTGTATAAGAAATACTGATGATCTGATGCTCATTTCAAAAAAAATCCTTTCTTAGCGAGCACCTAGAAGCCAACAGGAACATGTGTGCCACATTTCAAGTTTGTAGGCTTTACAGTTCTGGAGATTTCGTGATGAGTGTATATATATATCTGGCTGAAAAACCAGGGGATGACCCAAAGTACCCAAAGAAACTCCATAACCAGGTGGAGATAGATTTCAACCAAGTTCACACCCAAAGTTTAAGTTTGTCAGATATATTGGGGAGGAAAATACTAAGCTTTCATCACTAAATATGTTTATCTATCCCAAATGTAACTTTATGCCGTCATACTTCTTTATTGCTTTTTAACAATTTCAGTCATGCTGAATTCTATAGTCATTGTTAATATTGGTTCCAGGTAAATAATAGTTTTACGTAATTTTTTAAAACTGCTGAAACTGCTAGTTAGCTGTACCCCAAGTTAAATATATAAATAAAAGTAAATAAAATACCTTTCAAATCTCCCAACACCTACTTATAACATATAATCTAAACACTTTCAATCAAAGTAAAATATATTCATTATGGATATTCTTCACAAGTGAGCCCAACTTTTCCATTGCCTAAGCAAGACCAGTGTTTTACAAACTTCCTTGCCTCAGCTGTTAAGTGAATCATTGCAGTTATTAAGGTAGTAACGGCTGTTAAGTGAATCTGGCTTCCCCAATGAGTGTGCTTGTCAGAAGGTTGCAAAGTGTGATCTCATGATCCCCAGGACACTGCAAACGTCATAAAGACATGCCAGTTGCCAAGTATCCAAATTTTGATCATGTAACCATGGGGATGCTACAACAGTTGTGTGAAAAATAGTCATATCACTTTTTTCAATGATGTTATAACTTCAAACAATCACTAAATGAGTGATTGTAAGCTGAGGACTAACTGTATCACTATCTATGTGTTAGATATTATACATATTTATACCTTGACTGTTTTACTTCATGCACCTTTAAGGCAATGTACCCAAAGCAGTGTGCCTACCTTTTTCTACTGAGGTGCTAACCAGTCTGTTTAAATTCAAATAGCCAAAATGAGAAAAGTATAAAGCAAGGTCCAAATCTGTGTTTAAATAAATGACCCTTTTAATTTTGTTCAAGATGTTAAATTCCAGTTTTGCTGTACCATTTAGAAGAGCAACTAGAACTGCAACACAGGGAGCCCCGTTTCTTGAAATGGACTTGTCTTTGAACTTGGCAGTGTATGAGGAATTATTAAGCAAATGGTGTTCTCTATCTCCAGAATTTTGATGGTGTACAAGGTTATTTCTATATCTGCAAGAACTATTCCAGAGTATCAATCAAATCTTTGTTCTGCTCACAGACCAGCATAATTTTAGAGTCAGGACATGCTGGTGTTCACATATACAGGAGAACCTGGAGTCACAAAGATAAATTGAGGTTGGACACTTTGGGTATTACTTCTGCATCTATGCCTAGAAAATACACAGGCAACGCTAAAGGATAAGTTATTTTAAATTATCCTTTCATAGCTCCACAATGGTTTAAAAATAAATATAAAGCGCACCGTTCTTAGTTTCTAACAGACAAACACTACTGATTTGTTGGACTCATAACAAATGTTCCTTCACCCTTGCACCCCCTTCCAAATAATGTTTAGAGGTGTTTTGTTTATTCCTATTGTTTCTTGGCTGCTTTGGCTCTTGTAGCCAAAGCTTTGAATGTTCTTCCGGAAGACATAGCTTAAATTAAGTTAATTTGTAAACCATTCATGCATCCTTCAAAGCTGCCAAAGCCTCCCACAGAATCAGCTTAGGTTCTGCCAGGATCGCTTGCAGCTGGACCGGTGTAGAAGAAAGGCAACGACAAAGGCTGCTGTGTGTAGTTGCTCAACCTTGATGCATCAGGACGACTCTAGCAGTAAAGTCTTCCCTTGGGCTAAGGATGCCTTTTTCCCAGGCATTCTCCCCACTTTGGCTGATGGCATCTCTCCCAGGGCAAAGGCAGGCAAAAAAAAAGAGGGGGGGAAGCTATTTCTTTCCGCACCAATGTTTATGTGCCAGAAAGTTTGGAAGCATTTACTGACCCTTCTGTGTTTCTAAGCTGCTTAGTTTTAGAAAGTGAAGGGAACCTCTTATTCCTGGCAGACAACCCAAGGTAAACAGGACTTAATGTATTCAGTCAAAAGGGGAAGCGTATAAAGACTTATTGTGACACAGAAGGGGAAATCAATGATTATGGGCATTTGGTGTTAAGGAGGAAGAGCTACATTTGATCCCCCTCTTCCTCTCCCTCAAGAGAAAAAGAGTTATAATTAAGCATATATTTTGCCGTTAAGGTTTAACCTTCAAGACCACAGGTCTTGTTGGTTTTTTTCTTTTTTCCTTGCTGCCAATGGACATATTTTGCAATGCTTACACTGTGCAGCTAAATGAGGTAGCCTCGGGCAACGGAGGAACTGGGGGTAGCCGTCTTTCAGCAGTCACTAAGGAGACTGCACACTGCTTTAAATCCTCTTTTCAGCAGAGAAACCAGCCAATTGCCCACTCTGACTCCCCAAGAGGCACCTCAGGAAACACATGATGGGGTTACAGCTGTGGGAGGCCAGAAAACAGCATATCCTGTCATGAGAATCTTTCACCTCTGCCACCCCCAGGGACAAACTCCACCTTCTGCAATGAGCAAACTTTAAATGGGTAAAGGCATTCGCCCTGCTGGAGCAGCCGCCTAAGAGAAAGTTCGGGAGAGAATATCCCAGCCCTGATCATGACTTGTTTTCCAGCAAAGAGAATGCATACCAAGCAGAAATGTTTGAATCCTCAAGGCCTGGCCACGTATCTGCTCTGCTGTGCTCCGCCGTTCCACCCACTCACCCACCCTTCAATCTTTGGGAATCAGAGGAGAGGTCAAAAATAGATGGTGATCCTGGTGCCAAGACAGAACAGCGAACTAAGAGGAAGAGGACTGCTGGTTCTTGCCAAAAAACCACACACATGAATCTTGCAGATGTTTCAGTGTTCTTGGCTGCTTGAAACTTGGAACACTGTTTTCCCTTAACCTCCCCCTTAAGCTGCCATAAGCACACACTCCAAAGAAGACCATACTAGGGTCTCTACTGGCAGAACCCAACATCCTCAACACCATGCTGAGCAGGGGATGTGGGTGGGTTTGAGCAAAGACCAACACTGTAGAGCAGACATGAAGAACGGGTTCAGACCCTTCCCTTCTTTTTTAATCCACTGAATTGAAGCATTCTAAATTGTCTCTGAAGAATTAAATCAGTACACTAAGAATGTTTGTTATATATAAAGGAGAAGAGAACTATTTGGTGGGATAGGGAAGGGGCACATTTTATATACTGGGAATAATTCAGCCATGCTAATATGAAGTTGTAAATTAGGAAAGGGGAAGAAAACCACCCTCAAGTTGAGCATGCTCACCTAGTCCAGGATAGGTCCTGCGTTTGCTGAGATTGGCTGATTTCACTAAGAACATACAGGATTGATGAGTCATCCAGGAGCAGAAAATAAGCAGCAGGGCTCCCAGAAAGATGCCACACTACAATAGGAAGGGGAAATAGTATAAATACTAGACGAATCATCATCATCTCCTCCCGCAAAACAGTTCTTTTATGTATTCTTACTGCCATTCCATGTTACCTAAAAGATGTCAGATTTTTATTTGCAAGGACACACTGGCCCCTTAAAGGTGATTCCCTTGCTTCTGAGCAACAACCAGCCAAAATGGGATGTATGAATTTTCTTTTTCTTTCTTTCTTTCTTTCTTTTTTTCTTTCTTTCTTTCTTTCTTTCTCTTTCCTTCCTTCACTCCCTCTCCCTCAGTAGTGAAATTCAAAATTCTTTTAATACCGGTTCTGTGGGTGTGGCTTGGTGGGCGTGGCAGGGGAAGGATACTGCAATATCCCCATTCCCTCCCCACTCTGGGACCAGCCAGAGGTGGTATTTGCTGGTTCTCTGAACTACTCAAAATGTCCTCTACCGGTTCTCCAGAACTGGTCAGAACCTGCTGAATTTCATCCCTCCCTCTCCCTCTCTCTCACACACACACACTTATAGCAAAGACATAGAGCAGCCACCTATTTACTAAATGGTTCAGTTGCAATACCTCCTTACTACGAAAGAGAAGCCAAAGCAATTTATGGAAGAGAAAAACCTTCCTGCCCTGCTGTTGTGACAGGTTTTGGGCTTATTCCAGAATGGTGATCTGTCTTTAGCTACTACCAGATTCATGTTAAACAAGTTAGCATGCTGTTGATCCAGGGGTTTGAACTCCTCTGCACAAGTGAAACTGGCTCTTCTATCCACTTACAGCATAAACATAAATTACCCTGTTAGCTACCTGTCCTGAAAGCATTGTGCCGGTTTGCTCTCTGGACACATTTGCAGAGGAAGTGGAAGGAGTTTGGGGGGGAAAGAGTGGGGGGAGAACCTGAATGGCTGAACATTTATGAAAACAATGCATGACACTGGACAGGAACAAGTGGTGCTACATTTTAATCACAGCTGCTATTTGTTCTGTTTTAATCAAAGGAGTTGCAGCTTTTGAAGCTTCTGGCAACTGTATGCATAACAAACCAATGACCTATTCTAAGGACCCTTTAAATCCAAAGGGCTGTAAAAGCCTTTTTCTCCAAGGGAAGGTTTATTGACATCAGTTAGTAGCTCCGGTATTGAAACAACCAAAGTCTTCTAAATGTTCCTTAAAGAAACTGCCCGGGGAACATTCCCCACCTCCCATCCCAACACACAAAATGAAGATTATCACAGATATAGTAAAATAGGACCTCTTCATAGAAAAGGCTACATTAATGCAATCTTACTGGGCAAAAGTTGTAAAGGAATTAGCATTCTACTACCGTCATCTTCCACCACACTATTCACCCAAGCAAAGATCACAGCATCTATTATCAGCATCTGGTAACAAGTGTTGCCATGCATTTGGAAAGCATCTGTGACCAGATGTTCGTGTGCATAACCACATATCACTGGTGGTATTTTTTATAACCACAAGCACTTAATTACTAACAGCAGTCCACCTCCTGTTAAGCCCAACCCAGGAAAATCAACTATGCCCGTGAATGTCCCACGCACTGGATGGGCTCCTTGTTTAATATCCTTGTTTAATATCAGTGGCCTAAAACAGAGGCATGAGGGGCTCTTTGCTGCAGCAGCAATATCAGAATTGGAAGCATACAGGCAGATGAAGAAGAGTTGATACCAAACAAGGCAGTGCCACGTAGAGATATTCTGCAACTTCAACAGGTATAACCCCCTTCCAATGTCCCTGTTACCTTACACAATAACTCTTTCAACATCCCCACACACTTTCTCTAGGATTATCGAATTTTCATGTTTACATTTGTAGTTGCAGAACAAGCCCTGTTAAACATAACAGCATTCTCTGAAATTATATGTAAGATTGCACTGGCATTAATTTTATATTGCAAGAACTTCTTAAGGAAAGGCAACAGCAAAAGTTGAATGGGATATGGGTATCCTAGAGCATTCAGATCATTCTGGAAATTTTCATCTCCTTTCCCTATAAAGAATGCATAAAACCAATGGATGCTTGAAGGTGTTGGAAGAAATGTCCTTCTGGGTTCAGCTCCAAGTGGAGGAAAAAGACACTGAAAACATGGAGGCTGCTTGGAAAGATGGTTTTACTCCCATCATCATGAAGTGCTTCGAGAGGCTCATCGTGAGGCACATAAAGACCCTGTTGCCCGTAACATTGGATCCACTGTAGTTTGCCTACCGCTCAAATCGCTCCACCGACAACGCCATCTCCACTACACTCCATCTAGCCCTCACTCACTTAGAAAACAAAGACTCATACATACGAATGCTGTTCATAGACTTTAGTTCAGCATTCAACACTATCATTCCTCAACACCTGATGAGGAA